TATAAACACAAAAAGCATTCTTTGGGAGCTGCCCCAATAGGGCCCACGTGTTTATTGGTTGCCACAAATTTAAATTACATTTTTTGAAAAAAAAAGTAGTGGAGTGAGCAAAACTAACAGTTTAAGAATACCAATAATATGGACAATTATTGAAGTTTACATTGATTAGACATTGATGTTTTGCTGGGGAGTCTGAATGATCGAAAATGAAGGCAACAATATTCACAACTCAATGTTCCCTGAGACGTTGATTCAAACAGACAATCAAGTAAGTTAAGGACCACCGCGTTAGTAGAAATATTGTTAAAAAAAAAAAAAAGATGCAAAAAGGATAAGAATGCGTCCAAGTTTATTTTTTAATTTAATATTTTAATAGTTATATAAATGATGGTATGTATACTAAATTGAGGTATATAGTCATGCTTATTTGTGCTTTTAAGGGCCACGATGCTCTATATTTATTTCAGTATATATGATATTTTTGGAGCAAATTGTGAAAGCCAATAAATCTCATTAAAAATAAAGTTAGAAACCTTAATTTTTAAAAAAGCTGTAGACTTTTAAAAAAATGCCTTCATTTAATATTAGTTCGTAATTAACTCATAATCATCTAATTAAAGGTATCTTTGGCGTAAAATATTTAATAATTAATTATTTTTCTTGAAACATCTTATATTATAGAACACGAAACTACTCTAAACAGTCTTATAAATTGCAATAGAAAAATTATTGTTCTTATATGAAAAAAATTATTTATTTGTGTGATTTAGCTTAATGTGCAACGATATACTTTGGGATTTTTTTTTTTGAATGATCTTGTCATGATCAAATTATTCCCCTAATCCCATTTATGAATGATTTCCAGTATTTTTTTAATACAGTCCAACTTTATCCTAATATTGTACTATTTTCGGTCCTTAATATAAGATCCAGTTGAGTAATTTTAATATATTAAGAAGATTAGTTAAGTTACTTATTTGTAATAAATAAGTGTTATCTTTCTTAAAATACTTTTACAAATTATGTATATTAGTTAGAACTATTATTTGATAAAACATTTGACGCATGCAACTACTACAAAAACTATTTTGAGAAAAAATAGATAAATATGATAAGCAAGTTGAATTAAGCTCTTATATTTATTGATCAAATTAATACATTTCTATAAAAAAAATAGTTATGTAAATTATAAATTGGACAAAAAGTAACAAGCCTTGCAAATGGTTGCTTGATTTTTTTTTTTTTGTTGCCCTTAGCATCCTCCCACCCAAACAGTAAAAGATTAATTTTTTGGATATTGTCGGACGCCGTAACGGAAATCCCTCCTAATAGTGTTTTTTCGTACATACTACTCTAAGAGTTAAATCCAAGACATGGTATTTAAGATATCCAGGTCTTTTTTACTTAAACCAACATTTGTTGGTAAATGGTTGCTTGATTACTCGGGTCATCTTTGTAACTATGGTCTCTTGGGCCCAAAAGCAAAAGCCCCAAGGACTAAAATTTAGAGTAGGCCAACATTATGTCAAATGAAGGCCCACATTATGTACAATATTTTCCGCCCAAATTTTTTAATGTAAAATTGTGAGCCCAACGTTGCTCCCTGGTTTATACAGCTTGTTAAAATTGTGAGTTAATATAATTTTTGTTCTTAAAATTTGAGCTCATTTTAGTTTTAATCTCTTAAATTTTGAATATATGATTTAATTTTTTAAAATTTAGTCTGTCTTAAAATCTTAGTCCTTGGAGATGTAATGGTGTTAAAATCTATTAAAGCATCATAAACAGCGTTAAAATGATGATGTGGACTCATCAAATGATATCTAACTAGATATTGTGTGGATAGCATAACGACTATATAAAAGATGATGAGTTCTCAAATGTGAATAACTCCTCAAACAAACAGCAAAGAAAAAAAAGGGGAGGCTAAAAAACTGCATGTTGAAAACATGTTCTTTTTTTTTCTTTTGTTATCCACACAGTATATGACTAGATGCCATCTGACGAGTTCACATTATAATTTTAACTCTGTATACAACACTTCAATAGATTTTAACATCATTATACCTTAACCCCTTGTTTGGATTGAGAGAAAATTAGGAAGAAGAGAAAACTAAAAAGGAAAACATGAGGAAAAACAAGTTTTCTCTTGCTTGGATAAAAGAGAAAATGTGGAAGGAAGGAAAAGTGGAGGAGAAAATAAAGTAGGCCCTATGCTTTATTTTCTCTCCAAATTTTCTGTCCATATATGGAGAGATTTGGGAATGAAAACAAGACTTCTATGACTGCTCCTCCTCTCTTTTCCTCTTCATATTTATTTTCTTTTATTATATTTAAAAAGTTATTCACTTTTTTTTCCCTCTTAAAACAATATTTTTATTAACTAATTTGATTTTAAAATATACTAATTTGAAAATATATATACAAACCACATAACTTGATTTTAAATTATTTGATTATGCTAATGTTAGTATAATTTTTCTATTGTAATATTTAATTTAATTTAATTGTAAATATGGTATGTTTTGATAAGGATATTTTAAGCATTTAGATATATGCTAATTTTCTTTCCTATTTATTTTCTCTTATCTATCCAAGCAAGAGGGATGATCACAACTTCCTTCCAATTTTTCTTTCTCTCTATTTTCTCTCCTCTCATTTTCTTTTCTCTTAACTTTTCTTTCTATCCAAACAAAGCATAAAATACTAACGTTTTAAGACAGATTAAATTTTAGAAACTTAAATCATGAGTTTAAAATTTGAGAAACCAAAATCAAAATAGGTAAAACTTTCAGGGACTAAAAATATCCCAATACAAAAATTTCGCTTTCGATTTATTATCATTCTGACTTTGACGATTACTATAATAAGCCTTGAGACCAAGCAAATAACTTCCATTGGTCTCCAGAAAGGATGACGTTGAAATCTACGGCCACTTGGCCGTTAAAATTATAATAACCCAAGTTAGACGGCTATCTTTGGCCACGAAAAAAAAAAAAATCAGATGGGGAGCTTATCGTTCTTATTTATTAATAAGCTAAAACATACATTTAGTCCTTTAATTTTATATAAGGTTTTAAATTGGTTTTTTAACTTCAAAAAGCATATATTTGGTCATTTAACCCTAAAATCATTAGACTTTAATGATAATATTTTGTAGCAATTATGGATGTTTTGAAAACTAAGCTTAATATGTTACCATTTGAAAATATTTTATCAACATTTAAGATTTTAAGTTATCATTTTTTTTAAAAAAATTTAAGATTAAATGACTAAAATATACTTTTAAAGTTAATGGACCAAATTAAAACACGGTATAAAGTTAAAGGACCAAACGTATATTTTAACCTTATTCATATTAATTATTTGGCTTATTTTTACCGTTGTACTGCCTATGATCAACTGAAGATTATGCATGTTTGTTTATAAGCCATTAAATTGCGACTTTCGCTGCCATTAGAAACGTATCATGAATTCTGTTTTTATTACTATTATTTTCTTAATGATGAGTTAATATTTTGAACGTTTGATTCGACCGTACCTTTTATTTGGTCCGATCCCTCTATCCATGTTTTGAAGATCAAACACAAAGGCCCCAGTAAGACCAAAATACAAGTTTCTTTCTTTCTTTCTTTATTTTTATTTTTTTTACAGTTGGAAAATGAAAGCGACGAAATGGTGAAAACGTATTCACCCGTTAATGATGAAAAAGTAGACATAATCAAAATTATTTGCACGGTAAGTAAAACTATATTGTAAGTTACTGATTGATCTCTTGAATGATTACAGGTCGGCAAGTTAAAAAAGAATTGACCCGCATAAAACCTAAAGGGCAATATACGAAGAAGGCGCAGTGAAATAAGGGATGCGCTAAAGTATACTTTGGTTTGTAAGAGGAAAATTTTATTGTTTTTAAATATTTCTCCACAATTGTTATTTATTAACATTTATGTCTTATTTATAAGGAAAACTTAAATTATTTTAGCTCCTTAAAATTCTTTTATTTTAGGAGAATAAACTTAGGTGAAAACCCGAAACCAAAAAAATAAAATACACTGCATAGTCCGTGTTAGAGACTAACGACTTAACCATTCAATGTGGATTTATGATTAAATTACACTAATACTAAATACTCATATTTTAAAAATAAGCTACATAATTATATATGATTATAGAATTTAACGTAATAAATATAAAAAACTTAATATAAGTGTTGTCCTTTATTTTATTATATGTATTAAAGGATCCATTAATTGTAATAATGTGAGTTGTTTTAATATTTTTTTGTTGTTGTTAAAAGTGTTTTACTATTTTGAAATTATATAATAATTCATCTAAGTTCTATAGAACATGTACCATAATTACTATCATTTTTATACAAAAGGGGTTTTGGAAAGTTGGTAGGAAAGGAAAAAGAGAGAGAGATAATCTTCCTAGAACTTCACCCTAAAGACAATATCACGCTTTATAATGTGATGTAATAATAAAATATTTAAATCATCCGGAAAAAATGATTGGAAGATATTATTCACACACACGCAGAGACCCACTTTAAATTTAAATGTAAAATTTAAAAACAAAACGAATTAAAATAATAATACTACCTCCCGTCCTAATTATAAGAGCCAGTTGATTAATTTGAAGAGATTAAGGAAGTAAGTTGGTTTAGTTATTTGTTCTAAATAAGTGTTGTCTTTCCTAAAATATCCTTGCTAATCAAGTGTATTGACTAGAACTATCATTGTTAGAAGGGCTATTTTGGAAAAAAAATATATAAATATGAGAGACAAAATGGACTGTGGTGTTATATTTAGAACTAAAATAAAAATCAAACAGGTTCTTATATTAAGAACAGACTAATAATTTGGGCCCCTCTCCGTTCAACAGCTCCATCATTTAAATCTCGTACCTTTTCGAGCGGTCCGCCAATCCGACATTGTCAATAATCAAAAATCAAAATATTGAACAACCTCAATCTCCTTCCTTCTCAGCGCGCTCTTGCATAGTTACACAGTTGCACCTAACATATCTTCACGAGAATTCATTGTGGGTTCATCATTTTTCTTTCCTTCCAACGATGTTGTAGCTCATCTTCTTTGTTGAATGTTCAAACCCTATATTGTTTCATTCTTATCCGATTTTTCTTTCCGTGAATCGTTTATTTCCTACAATGGCGACGGCGGCATTCAAATCTACGACTAAGAGAACACCCATAGGAGCCTCATCGGCTTCTTCCACCGACGATTCCAGTTCCTCTAATCGCAACTACTCCGCTTACCGTCGTGCTCGAAGTCTTAGCCGAGCGCCCCGCCGGGTTCCTTCTCATGACTTGGCCAATGACCCTGATGAATTCCCTGCACCAAGAGGGAAATTCGTTAATACTGTCAGGGGTTCTGGGTTTCCTGAGATCAGTCTTGATGATCTTGCCATTGAATTCTTCGAATCTGCCAATCGAGGTCGCATGGCTTCGAGACACTCTGAGCTCAGTCCTGCGAATGGAGCCACTGCATCACGGAGTCGCATGGCTTCGAGACACTCTGAGCTCAGTCCCGCGAATGGAGCCACCGTGTCACAGAGGCGCGGGAGGTCTGTTTCGAGGAAGAGCTCTGGAGTGATCAATGATGGAAGGGGCAACTCTGATTATGGTGCTAACAGAGATGGAGGGTCAGATGCTCATACGGGAAGGAGGAGATCGCTCTCGGTGGTACGGTACCAGATTAGTGATTCTGAGGTGAGAATCATTTGCTTCGTCTTTGTAGCTTTGGTTCCTACGACTCGGATGCATAGCCTTGTTTGTATATATAAGTGTCAATTTGACTTAATTATCTGCTTGCATATTTAGAAGGGATGCATATATCGTATAATGCGTCGAATACATTCTATATTCTCTTACCGATTCTGACTAGCAATTTCGCCTGTTTAGAATGATTCTAAGTATGCAATGTGCGAATACGGCTTAAGCCATTTAGAGCAATATGGACCATGTCAAATCTAACAAAGAAGCGTTCCCTTTTGAGTTAGTCCTTCAAACATGCACGTTCCTACAGAGCAACATGGACTAGTTTAAGTTTACTGGAAAGTTCGTTCTTTGCTTGAACAACCTTGTTCTACAGTTGCTTGTTTAGAGTTTACTGTTCAGGTAAAATTTTTCTTAGAAGGAAATTCAGAAGTGGTTAGTTATAAAATATTAACTGTATTTCCCCCCTGCTTATTGTATGGCTTTGCCTACTTCTAACACGATGATATGTTGCCAAGTGCACCACAAGATACCAAAATCCTTGCACTAATTTTCTTTTTTCGGCCAATAAATCCTTGTAGCAAGTTCAGCCTATGTTGATTATTTTTGTTTATCGACGCCTTACTTAATATGTTCCTAGCGTACTTCTTCCCTTTGTCTTGTTTAATTTAATGCTGTTAGTTATTTTCTTAATGATTTCAAATGAAATGGGAGAATTGAAGATTTTCATATAAATATTCAATAAAGGAAAATCTCTTGTTCATACATTTTTCTATGATTTCCCCCTTTGGCCATTTTCATCCTGGGGGTTTTTGAACAATTTGATAGGCAATACTTTCTCTTCAAGTTGATCCTCATTCGCATGACCTGAATAGTAATTAGTTTGTAACCATTTATAAATTGCGGAACTTGTTAGCTGAAACCATTACGTTTATTGAAGCATGCCTCGTAATTTTTGGGTGGACTATATTTGGTATGTTTCACTTTACCACTTTTTATTAGACTCTCGTATTTGATGTATTTATTCATATTCCTATCTTGCATGGTACAGAGCGATCCGGATCATTCTCGGAATTCTAAAAGTCGTGTGAATCTCAGAAGTATTGATGTGGCAAACAAGCCAATACATAAGACGGTTGCATCTGATCAAACACCAGTGCTGAGAAGGTCCCTTAGCCAAAAAGACATGAGGTCATATGATGGTTACTCTGTAAGTGAGATTAATTCCTTAATTACCCTAAATTTCTGACCTGTTGGCTGAAGCTATCTATCTTTCAGAAGACAGTATCAACATATTTTACATCTTATGTTATTGCATTACATTCCAAACCTAGGTGACTGAATCTGAAAGACTCTTTCTGGCTTTTCAGAGTCAATCTTCAGTTCTTACTGATGAGGAAGGTGCTGGTGCTCACCTCAGCCAAAATGCGACTGAGAATATCCAGACTATTTATGCACAGAAGAAGGTTGATATGCTTTCTTTGAAGTTACAGGTGCAGAAGGAATGCTACTTTAGTTTGAAACTTCTAATTTTCATCCTCTTATAATTCTTCAGGCAGCAAATTCTGGCATGGACGGTGGATTCCACAAAGCTACACAGAAGGAATTAAGACATTCTGTGGATGTCATCAAAACGAAAAATGAAAAGGTCTGTGAAATATGAATTTGTTTTTCTCTAAATCTGCTTGTTAGCCTCAATATTCTTTCTTATGCGTGTGGAGATTCACTGCATCGACTGATCTCTGCTGAAAATTTTTCTATTTTTTTGTGCACCTTCCAAATCAGGTCGGGCTGAAACCAAGGACCTCCACTCTAGCTACTGTTGATCGCTTGCTGTCAAACAATTCTGACGTTCTTCATAGCGTGTCTTGTATCAGGATGAACTATGAAACAGAACTGGAACAGGTATTAGAATTTAGAAGTGAAAAAAATTAAAAGCACACATGGTATCTTGGTTAGCATTCTGATGAGTAGTGATTGCCGACTTAATGATCATCTAGTGCAACTGTTTCAACTCATAATTTCAGGCTTCCTTCTATTTTATATTAGTATTGTTGCTCCTTGTCATAGAAGCAATAATACTAATACTGAAGGATTTGTTTGTTGATAGAGTATAATGACATCATGCAGTTCATATTGGTATTCTTACCTAGTGGGATAAGGTTGCTTGCTATATATTACTAGTAATATTGTTGCATGTATTTGACAATGTTGCATGCTATTTGAAGGAAACCGATTATTTTTATTTTCTATCATACGTATTCTTACGCTGCAATTTTTTCGAACAATGCTACAGGTAAAGTCGTCTTAAAACATTCTAAAATTGAAACCAGCAACGTTGTTTCCTTCTTGATGGATGGAGAAAATGCCTTGTGAAACTTCCGTTATTTTATTTGTATTTTAGATGCTTTTGATTGATGAACATTTTCTTATTGACAAAAGCGCTTGCCATGGTTCTTTGTTTTTGTGTTTTTTTCAAACTGACAGTCTGAGAAACGCAAACAAGATTTATTGGCTGAAATAGTGCTGGAGGAACAGCGAGGCAGAGAACTTTCTAAAATTGTCAAAGAACTGCTCCCTGATAAAAAGAACGAAGCTATACAAAAACCATCAAGAGCCAGGAAGGTGTGTCTCTATTTTTGTCCTCTGCAGAAGCACAAGTGTTCTTTAACTTACTGGACATATGAGCTAAATCATCCTTCACACTGTTCCTTTATGAAATAGAAACCGTTGAGATATTTTTTTGATCATTCAAACAATGTGTTTTATTTTCCAGAGAAGTAATGACAGGAACCGGATGTCTAAGCGCTTGACTGAGGAAGCTGAGAGATATATTGAGGATTTTATTTCAAATGTCGAAGATACTGATATTTCATCACTTGATGGAGAAAGAAGTGACACTAGCTCATCCATTGGAGGACTAATAAAACCAGAATCATTTAATAGCCCATCAATACCAAGATCTCTTCCGGTTGAAATGGATGGGGTCATGTTTCCATGGTTGCAGTGGGAGACTAGTAATGATGCTTCCCCTACAACAAACCTCAACAAAACACGGACGCCAGTAACTCCAAAAATTGCCAGTTTCATTCAGGTTATCTCCGAATTGCCACTTGTCCTCTTTTTTCTAGAAAAGGATTTTGCTGATTAAATTCTTTAGCACACGCATGATAACTTAATCATATGAATGCCTTTTTGTGTTGACTTTTTTTAATGCGGTTATCAAGTACACTTTCATTGATTGCCCAAGAAACGTAAGTCATGGATACAATCATATCATCATATGCATGCATGTTAATATGTTAACATAGTGACAAGGTGGCCAGCACACCCATATCTGGACATTCACATGTGACCATTCATGTGATTAAATTTACGCTTGTTTGCATAAGAACAATATCCGAATAATGGTGTGCATGTGCAATACCTTCCACACCCTTTTTGGACCCAATGACACAGATTCTTAGTATTCTGTAACTGTAAATTTAACTATTCAAGGTATCGAAGACAACAATGTGCCAACGATTCTTGTCCTTTTTTCTTTCTGGCGATACTTATGGGTTCTGTGTGTTGAATTTGATGTCCTAGGAAATCAAGAAAGTACGAGATCAAAGCAATCGTTCTGTCAGCAGCCATGGAAGCTGGAGCCCTGATGGTATTGTAGAGTATTCAAGCAGTAAGTTTGGCGAATCCTATGAAAGCCAGACATTGTCTACTGCATCATCTAAAGGAATGAATTATGATATGGATGAGTACCTCGAACTCAAAAAAAGCGAAGATCTTCTGATTGAGAGATGGAGGCAACGGCAAAGAATGGATTCAGGCAGTCTCCTGTTATGTAACCTAAGATTATTTTAGCCGTCTGTTCCTGAATTTATATGTACAGATCGTCTTATTATGCATGGTATTCGTAAGTTATCATGTTGATAGGCATTATTTGCTCACCAGTAAGTATGAAATCTTCTATTATATACTACTCTGGTCTTTAACGTAAGAACTAATTTAACAATCAATTGGTCCTAAATATAAAACTCAAATATATTTTGTTTTTAATATTTATTTATTTTGTCTTCAAATAGTCTTTATAGTAGATGTATACGTTAAGGAATTACTATCAATAGGTAATCAGAGACACATAATTAATAAGGATATTTTAGAAAAGTCATTATCTATTTACTACAAATAACTTATTTAAGTAACTTTATCTCCCAAAATTAGTTAATAATATCTTATATTAGGGATCGAAGATAGTATTTACTAGTTCATAAATTCAAGAATAAACCATATCATTTTAATTCGGTTTTATAATCTTTGACCCTTCAGTGCACGGAAATATGAACCCTTTGTATGGTAGGATAGGATTCTCTAATTTTCTCTTTTCATACCCTTTCCTTTTTCTTAATCGTTAGATCAATCTTTAAATAATTTAGGTTTAATTATTTATAAATTTATAATAGAAATGTTATATAATCAAATTCAAATTATGAAGATTGGATTTGAATTGAAAAGTTTCAAAGTGTAGTAAATAAAAAAATTTAAATAATTTGTGGGAAGTTAAATTTAAACTACTGGAACAATAATTTTATGGTTATAAAAAAAAAAAAAGAAGCAAAACCATTAGAAGGGATCAAGGGAAGAGGAAGAAATTTTATCTCACCTTTCGGTGCATCAAGAAAAATCTAGTTCTTGCATTAAAAAATTAACTATTTGAAAGATGCTGATAATGATATAATAAGTATTATTTATATTAATGTTTTGGCACAAAAGATATAATAAAAACACAATAAACATTAATTACAAAAAAAATTACCTCCAATTGACGTTAAGGAAATTAACATGTCAGGGGATCCAATAAGCTTAATTATTTGTCATGGAAAGTTTGAATTATCATGGGGCCAAATGTAGAAATTTGGATTTCGAAGAATAAACTTTATCCGGTAAGAGAAGCATTCAGGAGGGACTCCTTACTCCCATGCTTCACTCTCCTCTGCTTGCTTGTGGGTGGCACATCCCACCTGCAGCGATGCAAACTCTCCAAACCTCTTATCTCTTCTGTGTCCCTAAAACCCTAAACCCTTCCTCTCACCATTTCCGTTCTCAACGTCGTTCTCTGCTCGTCGGAAACCAACCATTTTCCATCAACTTTGTTGCCAAGGCTTTTAGCTCCGATGAATTCCCCGTTGACGAGACCTTCCTGGAGAACTTTGGTCCCAAAGACAAAGAAACTGAAGATGAAGCTCGAAGGCGCAATTGGATCGAGCGCGGCTGGGCTCCATGGGAGGAGGTACTCACTCCGGAAGCGGACTTTGCGCGCAAGAGCTTGAATGAAGGCGAAGAGGTTCCTCTTCAATCTCCCGAAGCTATCGAGGCATTCAAAATGCTGAGCCCCAATTATAGGAAGAAGAAGATGGAAGAGATGGGGTTGACTGAAGACGACTATTATCGTAGGCAATTTGAGATAAAGGGAGAGATACCGCCACCTCTGGAGACGTATTGGGCTGGTCCAATGGTCATGCGACTCGTGCCGCCGAGGGATTGGCCCCCTAGAGGTTGGCAGGTAGATAGGAAGGAATTGGCGTTTATACGCGAGGTACATAAGCTGCAGGCAGAGAGAATCACTCTGGAGGAGTTGGAAGCCGGGGTTAGCACGGAAACAGATGACTTGTGCTTGGACAGGTACAAGATGTTTGTCAAGCAATACTCCGAGTGGGTGGAAGCAAACAGGGACAAATTGGAGGAGGAATCTTACAAGGTTTCAGCCGAATGCCCGCGTTTGTCTTTTTTTTCTTGCTGATTCGGATTACTAATATGTCCATGTCTTGTCAATCTCACAGTATGATCAAGATTACCATCCTGGTAGGAGGAAAAGGGGCAAGGACTACAAGGAGGGCATGGTTAGATAAGTTGCATTTGGCCTTTTATTTATTATTCTTGGTCTCATGATTTCAATGTTGCAGTGCCCTCATTTAATGTGTTCTTCGTTGTTTTATGCAGTATGAGCTTCCCTTCTATTATCCTGGCCAAGTAAGTTACTGATTTCATGTTATTCTCTTTATGGAGCTGTTGTTGCCTATAAACTGCACTTTTTGTTCACATTGCAAGAATGCCTCCATTTGTTCGCATTAAGCGTGGTTGCTCACCTACACTGCTGCTTGCTTTTTGGCATGCCACTTGAAGGAACTAATGTTCAAAACCAACCCCCCCGGAGCGCCCCCGGGTTTTTTTTTTTTTTTTTTAATGTAACTTTTCAGAGATAATAACTCGTTAAAAAATATGTTGTGCAGATTTGTGAAGGGAAGGTGACAACATTGCACCTCTATCAAGGGGCATTTGTTGACATTGGTGGGGTATATGATGGGTAAATGTCCATTTCCGAAATTTATTCTTTTTGTGTTCCTGATATTCATTCTTTATTAGGTGTTGCTTTCCTTGGCTGGTATTGTTTGATGAAGGATTATTGATAAAGTAATAATGAGTTGCTTCCCTTATTTCGATTGGTAGGAAAAAAATCTTTATAAGTATCTTCTTAACTGAAACAGTTATGCACTGTACGTGGCCCCTTTTAGAGGAAGACAGTCTCATTAGTTTATTTGTACAAAAAAAGACAACTGTCTTGTCTCCTCTGTTTCACTTGGATGAATAGATCAGTGATAACATGGTACCACTACTTACTGAAGCAAAAAAAAAAAAAAAATTGTTTTGCTCTATAAATGAAACTATTTATTATTATATTTGATTCCTGTAGCTGTCTTAGTTATAAATTTATTATGCCGTCAATATTAATTAGGACGCATAACTTGGAGGCTTTAGCTTCTGTGATTTGGTTTAGCTTATTCAATAGCTACTGCCTTTGTTCTTCTAATTTATCTTCAAGTGTTCTCCCTCATGATTATAATGCCTTCATGCTTCATGTGTTCTAGGTGGGTTCCTATAAAGAATAATGATTGGTATTGGATCCGCCATCATATAAAAGTGGGGATGCATGTCATGGTTGAAGTTACGGTGAGTGTTTTGCACATTTTTCCTTCTCGTCACACAATATTGTCTTGACATCAGTTATGAGATTCTAATGAGTATTCATGGATGTTGATACTGGTGATCAAACATTTGGCCTTTATAGCCACTCAGTGGAGTGAATTAGAAAATTTTTAGCTGAACGTGGAGGAGAATACAAGATCCCTCATAGAGCTCTGCTGCATCATCAGCATATATATTAAGAAAATTATATGGCTGCAATTGTTACCGTAATGTTTGTATATGGGGTTTTGTGCCCTTTTCTTCCTTTTAATTTGTCTGCCTCCTTTATCATTTCAATAAAAACTTTGAAACCCCCTCGCAATTGTAAAGGTGTGATTCTCGTTCATGATTAAATTAAACCATGTGCCTGGTGGTATAATACACATTTTATTTTGCAGCCGTATCTTCATTTTATGCTGCTCTGTTCGTATCTTAACTTGAAACCTGAAATGTATATGATTAAACTAAGTGACCAAATCTGAATGGTCACTCATGGAATTTTGTCATTGTATTGTAGATTGCAAAATCCAGCCAACGTCTGTATTCTGTTCCTAACCTTTCAGTTCGTCATGAAATTTGCATATTTTATTTTATTTATCAATTTTTCTCCCTTTTTACATTTTAGGCAAAGCGCGACCCGTACCGCTTCCGATTCCCTATTGAACTTCGGTTTGTCCATCCAAATATAGATCATCTGATGTATGAACTTTTTGTGTTTCTGATGTTACACTTTAACTTTCTTTTATAGCTAGGCCAATCTTCATTTTCTTGTTGCATTCGTATTAACATCTGTTTCATATTTCAGCTTTAACAGATTTGACTTCCCACCAATATTTCACCGTGATGATGATGACAACCCAGACGAAATACGGGTTTGTGCATTCGCTCTTGATACTTCAAATCATCCCATCCTTGATGTGAACCCACACACAGACACTCTTCTTTTATAAGGCTCTTTATATTGGAATTGACCGTGGCCTCATTGGATGAGTATTGGGTCAAGTGTAACTGTTAGAATTCATCTGTAGAAAGGTTTATTTCATTAATATACTCTTCGATCTTCGCAAGGTTAGACCCATGTAGATGATGGTTCCCATGATGCTGCGACAAATGCTTTTAAGCAGTGTCTATAATCAGATACTGATGCTTTTAGATCATCATATCAAATCTCTGAACTGTTGTTCACTTTCTTATACAAAACTTTTATTCTCTATTCTCTATTCTTTATTCTTCCTAAATATTGACTCAATAGGTTATGACCAGGTTCATAATGTTTACAATATTTATTTTATGAGAATGTTTACTAGAGCTATGTTTTCTTTTATTATTACATGTTGTTTATTTCAAGTTAAACTAAAAAATAGTCAAATATAGCATTTTTTGAAGTCAGAGTTATCAACATGGTTGTTGATTCATTCTTTACATAGAAGATTTTTCAAAATTTGCAGCGTGATTCTGGACGACCACCCATTCCTAGAAAAGATCCAGGAGACAAACCAGAGGAAGAACCTCTCCTGTCAAACCACCCATATGTTGATAAGGTGAATTCTGGTCACATTTATTCTTTTTAACATTGTTGCAAGATACAATTTTGGTGGATTCATTAGTTTATGCATGGGATGTTCCTCGGTTTAACTTTTAAATTCCTTTTGTTTAAAAATGTGTCGGTCAATGTTCACCTAATATATTATAGGACTATGTAGGTGATATCAACATTCTCATTCAAAGTCTATTAGACTTCGCGTGTGTATTACTCTACAATGTGCATTGACATCCCACGTGTGCTTAAAAGTATGGTTAGTTCATTATTGTCAAAACTGTAAGGGTTTTTATATTTTAAAAGCAGCCGGAGGTCTGTCTTTCTGAATAGAAGTTTTTAATCTAAGATGCTATTACCCTGTGGAATTCATCATAAGCATATACTACCTCTAGTCTTAAATATAAGAGCTAGTTTGCACT